TTTGTGTCATTTTTTTGTTTAATTTTTTTTTTCTGGCGCGTGTAAGCGTGTAATACATTCTGACCGCAACAACAACAACTGCAAATGCTAAGTAAATGCATTCTCCGTGCAAAACTGCTTTATCGTGTGTCACTTAATACACTCAAGTGCGATGCTGTGCACTTCGATGTGTGGTGGTGTATGGCAGTGTGTAGTGTGTGTGTGATTTGTAAATGGCAATGGCATTGACAATGGCATTTAGTACAAGTTCACTTTCGGTTTTTCCTTCACACAAGCGAACAAATATAAAATTCATTTTTTTCATGTCATTGTCGCTTTGTATTGATTTTGCAAAATATCCCTAAAGCATGTTTTCCGTATTTTCTTTAAATGTTTGACTGAACGTTTAACATTTTGACTTTTGTCAATGCGTCAATAAAATTTAATTCCACATAATTTCTTAACACAAAGTGTGTGTGTCAAGCATTTATACTTCGTTCGCAACAATTACATCTCCACAGTGTGAGAGAGAGAGAGAGACAGAGACAGATATAGAGAGAGAGAAAAGATGTGATAATAATAGGGACTTACACTATAATAGTATTGTAAAATATTTGTAAAAATTAATCAGTAGATCTTAATCTAAAAGGAACATTTTCTTTAACTAAAGGTAAATTTTTTTCTTCAGCAAAAATATTAAACATAGCAAGAAGAATACAGTCTGTAGCGGATGTGGATAGCATCTTTATCCATGTATTGTATTGGTCATATATAACGAGTCTTTTGAATTTTATTCTGACTTGGATTTTGTAAAAGTTGAATTAAAAGAAATGTTTTTTTTATATTTTTTTTATTCAATTTTCTTTAATATTTCATTGTACTGAAATATTTTAATTTAAAATGTAACTCAAAAAAGGTCAGATTTTTTTGTGAGATGCAATAAGAGTTCTTAAACTTTGACATCCTACAATACTTTTCCTGTACGCAAGACTTTAACCTTAGCATTGAGATGAAAAAAAAAAAATTTGTGAAAATGTCAAATACTTAAATTTAACAAGAATATTTTTTTTTACTTTACAATTGTAAGAATTGTAGGAATTTGGTAAAATTTAATTTGAAGGACAAAAAGTAATTACATACATAATAGCTTGTAATCACTCCCTTGATTGCATATTTACTTAATTACTTATTTGCTCACTATAATCTGTCACTCACTTCGGACAATAGGACTTCATTAATCTTTCTATATTGAATTTTGTTACAATACATATTGTATTCAATACAGCTTCAAGATATACTGTTATTATTATTATGTTAAGAGAACTTGTATTGCGATCTAGAGATTCATTGTGCCCACTACATGGACTATATGGTATTACACCTACACTAATGAGTTTTGTTTCTTCATCTCTTCTCTACAAAACCTTGAAGTATTATTAAAGTAAGTTCCGAGTTTAATAAAGTGATAATTTAATCTATCACACAGTCAGTCTTGATCGTTTCGTTCACTTCTCTATAAAATCTACAAGTATTATTAAAGTAAGTTTCGAGTTTAATAAGGTGATCATTTAATCTATAATACACAGCAAAAATTCTTATAATAGTTTCTTAATTATTGTGATTTAATTGCATAAAAATGTTTACTCAATGGAAGACTACTCGCACAAGTTAAAGTCATCCAATTGATACTCTGTAAGCAACCCCATATGTATTAGAGTTCTTTCTGTATCTGTGTGTTTCATTGATGGATCTGGAATTCTTCTTCTAATCGAGATAAAAGCCAAACAATTACAAAGTATTTACCTAGAAGGTTGGTCCGTTTCCAGGTAGAAAGATATTCTATCATATAAGACTGAAACGTATGTTGTTGAAATACTAGCACAGGTTAATCAATCTTAGATTTGTTCGAATTTTCTGTTTAAATTATTCAGATGAGTAAACTGACTCGTTTCTTCTTTTATTAAGTTAGCACAAAACTTTATCACCTAAAATGAAACTTGTTAAAACGTAAATGTGTAATAATTATGTTAGTTGTAGTAGCCCCTAATATAACCTATTTAAGGGCAAAGTTTTTGACCTTTTAATCTTTGTTAACAAATAACGAACTCCATTTGCTGTAGTATCAACTCTTTACCAATTTATTCTTTTCATCTTTGTCCATATCTTTGTCCATACATCTTTATTTCATTTAAAAAGTTGAAAAAACTCCATAAATTTCCATTACTTCATTGAAATACTTCAGTCAGTATATCAATAAAAATCGAGATCGTAACTTCAAGAATGGAGGACCATCAATTGCCTTCAAAGCAATTATTCACGTTGTAGAGGAAATTGACTAGGGCAGATAGCAGAGTACAAAAACAAAACCACAGACTCACAGATTTGCTCTAACATAAGCAACGAAAAGCAGAAATATTGACAGAGACAAATGGTGCCTGTCGTTGTGATAGATGATTTCAGCACAGCTTCAGTGCAGCATTAGTAAAAAAATCGGTCAGCACGTAAGTAGCAAATTGCTCTGAGCTAGAAAAAAAGGACATCATACAATGGCCCACTTTTACACCTGTTGACTTAGTGAAAGGCACTGAAAGTGTTGCATTGTATTTGCGTCAAATACGTCAAATTAGGCATGTGCTTGTTGCCATGTGCAGGTCCGTCCTCGTCGAGGACTCGCGAGGACTGCACAATATGTGCTTTCATTTACAAATGACAAATGCGGCTAAATGGTGTCGTTTTTACTTAACACAGAAAATGTAATTAAAAACTTCAACGAACCGCTTTTCTATGCATGGAACAGTTATCTGTTGAAAAAAAGATAATTTCTACTATTATTCAGTATGCTGGAATTACACTTACCAACTGATTCAGGTAATTTAATTTTAATTAAATTATATTATTTAAATCAATAAACTTACTTATGGAAATGTGCGTATTTCAGTTTGTTTTCTCAGCGATTGAAGTAAAATTTTATAAGATTTGATTTTTGATTAAACTTGGATCAGCTTATCAGTTCTACATTCTGAAGGGAATGGTTGAATAGAATGCTAACACAATGCTTCATTTGACGAACAGACAACAAGACCGCGTAATATTGACAAGACAATAGGCCAATTTATTCCCCTTGATAACTACCGAACTAGTTATTCAGATATTAAGGTCCATCTGTTTCGCTGAGATTCTTTTATTGGCTAAAGGATACGAATAAAGAAACATATGAACAAAGCAGACGAACTTGAGCTTACTTAATAGATCTACACTATTTAGATGTCAAAACTCCTGTACTTAGACCCAATTAGTTTTCAATTATTTTATGTTCCCAAATCCATTTCCAAATCACTACTTCTCAATTTTATGATTAATCATACTCTCCATGACATCCATCCGTCTGTGACATGTTGCTCGCAGACGATTACGGTTTATATACTACGATCTTTATACAACTTAAAACTGAAATAAGTTTTTCATAGCGATGTTTCAAAGGGGACATACGCAGCACGACTATCATTTATGTTAATAATGTTATTAAAAATTTGTAAAATATCGAATTAGTTTTAGATAGAATACAATTATATATAAAATATACAAAAAAAAAAAAATATACTACAAAGATTACGAATTCAGAATACCTTAGATCATATACAATGTCAGTCAGTAGATCCTAAATTCTAAGCAACGGAACTTACTAAAGCCTAACATATTCGAACTAATAAGAATCACTTATCCTACTATGAAAACTTGTCCTACTATGAACCTAATTTAGATCGTAAATAAGAGTTAATAGGTATCCTACTATAATCCTATCTAGATCATATGCAATATAAGTCCTTTCACTCAAATTCTAAACAATGAATCTTAATAAGATCCATCTATTTAAATGGACATGAATTACTAAGAAATCAAAACCTTTAGCTTCCAATAAAAATAAATTAAGTAAAAAATCCTTAGAAACTTACATAAACATACTTTATGTTCCAATGATATACAATTAAAAAATAAAGTGCTATTAATTGCACTAAAAATACTAATGGCGGTTTCGATTTTTAAATCTAAAGTAATTTTTTTAATCAAAATACATTTTTAATATATTTTTAGTGCAGTTTTCATTTTCGATTGGTAAATCTGGATTTAAATCTGGATAACACTCGAGATTAATTTATAACACTCTAGATATAATAAGATAACCTTGACATTAACAGCTGTTTTATATGATTTCACAAATAAACTGTGGTTTGATCGATATAAAATGTTAGATTACTCTAAACATGTTTGATTGGGCAGCAAAATTTGACAGAACGAGCGTAAATCTAGATTGAATCCCGATTTACTAATCCCAAACGCCATAATTAAGAATAAGAATAGAAAACGAAATGTATTTATAAACATTTTAAATATCAATATTTATTAAAGAGTATACAATAGATATAAACTGTTCTGTACATAGTGTGAATATATATATTTTACAATTGTGAGAACATATGTATACGAGTATGCAGCACATAATTACATCTCTCACTGTCTATTGACCCTTTTACGTATAAAAGTAAATATGAATTATTAATGGTCTTCAATCAATTTTTAAACATAAAAAATATTTAATTTATTTTCAACAATATTTTACACAAAAAATTATGTTGTTTCCAATGACAATAAGCATAATTAATCAATTCTAGAGACAGGCAATGTCCTTTAAAATAAAAAACTTGGAATTAAGATTAATGATCCACACGAGGATAATTTTTTCGTAATGAATTTAAAATCAATTTTCGTATTCAGAAGAAATTTCCCCCTAAATTAATATTAAAATTTATTTCATTTTTCAATAGCAGAAATAAATTAAAATTTACCTCAATGAGTATTTGGTAAACCAGGACACTAGTTGATATTAAACACTCACCACCACTGTTGGGTCCTCGTATCCTAGCAACCCTCGAAAATTTCGTGGTGTAAACAAAACATTTGTGAATCTGCAGTAAATTATTTCATTTTTATAGAAAAAATAAAATATTAAATTAAGAAACGAAATGTCCTTTAAAAATGTACGAGGTAAGTCACAGATTAACTAATTTGCTGTCCATAAACCACATAAACTGTAATTATTTGCAGATCTTGCCGAACATCTTAAGCTGCTTGGATATCCAAAAGTGTTTCCCCTGCAAGCCTTATCTGGCAAGTTCGGTAGTTTGGCTTCTTTTCATATTGTAGCTGAAGTACTACAATGGTTAGCTGGACTTATGGAAACAGGAACCGTTTTGTCAGGTGGTGTGGAAACAGAAGAACAACGCGTACTGCTTATATGCTCGGCCACTGAATTCTTTGTTACTAAATCTGCTATAAAATTGAATCCCCGCAAATTATACTCTGCCTCAGCAATAACAGCGGCTGAATTGCAGAAGATAACAACACTTTTGATAGCACCCACTAATGCCGAGGAAGACAAGGATGAAGAAGAGAACTATCGTAGTCTTAATCAAGTTGACATTGGTGATAAAATGGATGACTTGCGACGCGCACGTGAACTCTCAACAGACTTAACGCAACGTGGTGTCACTCTGTACGATTTGCTTTGCAAAGAATTAGTTAATCGAGATGCACGTCAGGCACAAGCGAATCGCCCCATGGAACTGGCAAGTGTAGAGCGTACCCTTAAAAGTGCCACAGCAGCTGCACAGCTAAAATTGCAGACAAGTCGCGCTCAACTGGAAAATGCACGCGTTGAAATGAACGCACTCAATTCTAAACTGCAACGTAAACGCGCTGAGCTCGAACGTACCAAACAGCGACTTGAAGCGCTGCAGAAAATACGTCCCGCACATATGCAAGAGTTTGAAGAGTGTGAAGAGGAATTGAAGCAATTATTTCAACAATATTTTCAACGCGTACACGTGCGAGACGCTTTACGTGCACAACTAGAAGCACGTACTAAACGTGCTACGCCCATTGCTTCACCTATTTTACAAAAACCCGCTGAGAATTCTATACCATTCATACCAGAGGGCTTACTGCAAGACGATGACGACGATGATGATGATGATGGGACGGAGTTGGGAGGTATACGCCGTAATGGATACGGTTTGGATGCTGATATACCAGATATACGTGACGAAGACTTAATGTTGCGCAATTTAAGAAGTGAGAAAAGGGATATCAGTAGTAGAACTGCAAATAAGCGTCCAGGAACTGCTACATCCCGCGCACGTCCTACAACTGGACGTCGAAATCGTAATGGCAGAGGTGCGGCGGGTAGTATGCTTAAGCAACGTAATAAAAACTCAAGCATGGGCGACGAAGATGACAGCACTTTTGGTAGTTCAGAAAGTGATCTAGATATAGGCGGTATACTTGGTTTGAGCGGTACTGACCCTACAACAGGCACAAGCATATTAAGCAATATGGGCTCTGAGATTGGAGGAATGGGCGATGATGATTGTAAGTGCAAATTAATAATAAATTTAAAATTTTTCATAGAAGAGTAATGAAATATATTTTTATTTGCAGTCGATTTAAATTCTTTAGATGATATAAGCATTTCCAAAATAACTGGAGAGTTACCTATGCGTCCTAAAACGGCTAATAAAGCGGAACATCACAGCGATGAGGATTTTTAAAGAGTCACTATTATTTTTACATAAACAATATTTATAGAATTTTTACTAATGTTGCATTTCAAAGAAGTTGTGGAATTGTATTACGGGGAACGGGCTATAACTTTTCTAATATTTATCATATAAAATGTATTTATACAAAAACAACGTTTACTAATTATATATTGTGTACTAATAAATAGAATAAATAGGGAGAACGATGAAGTCTATTTTTTTAATAATAATAAAGACAATAAGAAACGAAGAGCGTTGGGGTCTATATCCAACACCCTATCACCACTTCTGGTTACAATAACAACAACTTCACAATAAAAATAAAAACCGATTACATTCAGATTTATATATATAAGGTTTTATTTTCTGATCTGTTACACTTAAGTCAACTTATGTTAATAAAAACACATGCATTGCATATATAAAAAAATCTTTAAGAAAGGTTGAAGACATTGTAGAAAGAGGAAGAAATACAGTATAAAATTGGATATGCATTAAAAATATATATACAAAAGTAAATGATCCAGTTAACACTTTTACAAGCAAAAGTAGGTATAAAAAAGATTTCAAACAAAAATCCTTAACAAAGCACTTATCTACATAACGACATCCCTGCAAACAATTTTCGCTTTTGATGAATGTGATGACTTTCCAAAGGTGCCACTTGCTGCCGAAGATGATGATGAATAATCTATCTGACTACCTGCATTTGACTGTTCTTGTCGAGCTAAAAAGCTATCGGCGATAGCACGATCTAAGCCTGTGTATTGGAAGGCTTCACCATCTATAACATCAGCTTCAGATTTACGACGCTGACGTCGATTTGCATCCATTTTTCCTGCACGCAACATTTGTCCAGCACGACGACGTCTTCGCTGACTATGTATGTCAGCAGATTTTGTACTCCTTTGCGTACGGTAAGTGCCATTCAAGCTGCTATTGGGGTGTGCATAAAGTAACGAGCTGGGACGCACATACGGTACAGGCATACCACGATAAGACATCGCTGTGGGTACAATAAGTGGTGGTGGTAGCATCATACCTGTTGCCGGAGGCGGAGTAGCATGTAACTGGAATGAGAAGTTATTTATAAATACTACTTATTTACCTATGTAGACAAAGTGTACTTACAGTGTTGTTACCTGCTGAAGCGGGTATTAGCATAATTCGTCTACCATTGGAAGTGGTTTTGGTTGTTTGTGGTGGTAGGGTACCCATTTGCGCTGCATACATCCACATTGCTGCCAATTTCTCATTCTTAATCTAAATAATGGGTTTATTTATTATTATATGAGTATTGCACTTAGTACTATGCATAAGTGTGAATGAAATCAAATTTTACCTTGTCACTGCCACTTACGGACATTGCCTTTATGTATTGATCCACCTTTTCTTGATCTAATGGCAACCCGATTGAGTTTGATTTTATTATTATATCGCTTAGATCTGAATTCTGGGAGCTGTAATAATTATAATTACATATTTGAATAATTAATGAAAAAATAAAAATTTTAGATATAACGTCTGTTTTTTAAAATGGCGATACTTCTTGAGGTTTAGTTAAAAAAATGGAACACAGAAAAATATATGTATCAATGCTTAAATTTATATATTTATAAAAATATGTTTATTATTTAATGATATTGTTTACTGGTAAATAAATATAAATCGCTGTTTTTTAATCGAATAACAAAAAATAATATTTGTAATAAATTCCCAGAAATATATATAGGTATCTACTATGTATACCTACACCATCGTTTCTTTATCAACGTCTGTGGGGAAGTGTTGAAACTGATATTTACAAAATATATTGAATACTTATCATAACCATAGTACATTTTGGGTTGACTAATATTAATCTATATAGGACGTGTGCGAGTTCGAGTAAATTGAGGTAAAATAAATTAAAATTTTCTAGGGATATTTTGCACTGCACTTATGTAAATATTTATTTATTGCACTTATTTATTATTTTTGGTTAAAAGTGTTCAAATTTATTTATTTATTTATTAAATATCTTAAGAAATTTTTACTATGGTAACACTTATTTTACCTAATTTACCCCACTCGAAATTCTGGTAAATGCCAACATTCACTGCCATAGCGACATAATTTACTATTTCTCTCAATTTACTATCAATTTACTCGTACTCGCACGAAGCCATAATACCAATGAATATAAAAAGTCAGTTTTCTTATCTGCAAAACTATATTGTGATTAATAACTAAATAAATAAAATAATATACAAAATTATTATGATTATATTAATAATTAACTTTTATGTAAAAACTAAAGATTATTTAAATTTCAAGTGTTTAGCTTAAATATCAACACCAAATGTATTAGTAATAAATAAATAATTTTAAACTTTAAATTATTTTTAATTTAAATTGAAATTTCTTTTAATTCAAACATATTCATGCAGAAGAAAAAATAAAAACTGCAGATAAACACTATTTATGGCCACCACTGTTATGCAGCTGTCTATATTCACCCATATTCACCACACTAAAGTTGACAGTTCAACAAAGGAAATATTCGTCACTCAGAAAAAAACATATATTAGAGGAAAAATTAGAAATTGTGGAAAAATGGAGTTCAGATAATTTCTAAAAATATAAGTTAAAAACGCTGTTATTAGATCTAAATGGATATTAATCTAATATGAAGATGAAAACACAATTCAAATTCTTTAGCAAAAATATTGATTTTTTTATAACAATGTTGCGAGATAAAAATTAATGAAAATATGTGTAAGATGTGTAAGAATAATAAAGCACCAAAAAGAAATATAATTTAATAAAAGAAAACGAATTAAAAATAAAAAGAAAACATAAAAGTTTTAAAAAGCGGTGTAACATTGTATTGCAGACGTGGCATTAGACTTGGTTATAAACAACAAAAACAAAAGCGCTGCTGACTGTATTACACCTCGCGTCTGGCTGCATAACGACGCATACGAGCGAACAGTTTTTAACAGTTTTAAAATTTCAGTATGTTTGCTAATTTTAAAAATAGATTTATATCTGTGATTGCACCGGATATACCTCCGTTGCCATCGCCGTCAGATCAGCAATATCATCGCGGTGCTTCGGGTAGTGGCTTCAGCAGGCCACCAGATAAATTTGCATATTCGCGACCGCCATTTCTGCAATTGCTGACACCAGATGAGTTGCGTGCCTCTGCTGATCATAATGTGCGGCCTATAATAGTAAGACATACATACATGCACTTCCAAGTGATGTACGTTTGATATATAACATTGTTTGATTTGATTATTTTAGGTACCAAGAGATATAAATTTGCTACCTTGGGGCACAGGCTACGCTGAATGTGTTAATTCTGGTAAATCAGAATGGAACGAAGATCAAGGGGCATTTTGCAGGTATACTTCCTCACACTTATTCCATTTGAAATGTACTATATTACCATTTTTGCAGACAAGTGCTTTCAGATCCCACACATAAACATCCCGATTTACCTTATACGTACTTCGGAATTTTCGATGGACACGCAGGTTATGGTGCAGCTTTAGCTGCTTCACATCATTTTCATCATATATTGCATGAAAAATTGGTTGATTGTATTGAAATGTTACTGCCACGCAGCGAAGAGCAAGCAATTGTAAATCCAGCAAATAGTTTTCCACATCCCAGTCATTTCCATAAACGCGTCTCTAAAGACGAACTAATAACTGGTGCATTGGAGGGTGCATTCTTTCACATGGACTCGCTCATAGCACAGGATCGTGATCGTTACCGCGATGCAGGTGGTTGCACAGCCTGCGTTGCGCTCTTTATTGATGGCAAATTATACGTTGCCAATGCGGGTGATAGCCGCGCAGTGTTAAGTCAGCGAAAAGGAGTATCGGCGTTGACAGCTGAAGAAAAAGATAAGAAGACAAATAATACCGATGGTGTCGGTTCATATCCAGTACCATTTTCATTTGATCATACACCGGAAACAGAGCGACAACGTTTACTAAATGTTGCACGTTTGAAACCAAATTTGTTGGGCAAACAGTATGCAGCAATGGAGTATGCTAAACGACCACACGCAAAGGACTTAGGTCAACGTATTTTGTGTCGCCAAGGTACAATGAAAGGTTGGACATTCAAAACATTGACACGCGAAGATTTACGTATGCCTGTTGTGACAGGCGAAGGAAAACGAAGTCGACTTTTGGGTACATTAGGCGTCACACGTGGTTTCGGTGATCATGACTTATTAGCTATTAATACAGGTATATTAATTAAACCATTCCTGACACCACATCCTGAGGTGACGATACGGGATCTCACTAAAGTTGTAAGCATTCCAGGTAAGACAATCATTGTTGAATTCTTATTTTAACAAGAATTCACTCACGACATATTGTAAATATTTTGTTTTAGATGAAAATAATGAAGATGGTGATTTTGGTGTACTTATCATGGCCACTGATGGCTTATGGGATGTTTCCGAGAATGAGGCTGTAGCACGTACTGTATTTCAAACGCTCTCCAAGTATCCGACAGAAAAACATCGTTACACAATGGTAGCACAGGAACTAGTTGCTAAGGCGCGTGGAAAAATAAATGACTCTGGGCATTGGAGACTCGCCGACAGCAAAGCTGCTGCCACAGTTGACGATATATCAGTTATAGTAGTACCAGTTTACCAGTATTATAAGGAACACATTGAATGGGAGAAAAAGTGCAAAGAAGAACAAAAGGCCCGCTTTGAGAGAGAAGCGCAGCAAGCTCAAGAAGCTAAAGAAAATCAAAGTTTGTTAGTGAATGGCGTTACTTTGGCAACAGTAGAAGTAGAGAACGACGATGAGGGAAATATTGCAGAATTAAATAAAGTTAAAGAGCAATCGACAATAGAAATTATGGACAATGAAATGAAGATCAGCACGGAACAACCTACAACTACGCAAGATGAGCAAAACGTCCCCGCTTCTGACACTTCTGCAAAAGACACAAATGATGAAATAAACACTACTGCTACCGCCTTAGAAGCTATCAATATTTCAACAGCAAATGAGAGCCAGGGTAAATAATTTTATTTTCTGTATCGTTAAGAAATAAAAAAAGTAGATTTTTATGTAACTATTGTATGTATGTCCTCCAATGTAGCTACTATTTTTATCGTTTAGTTTGAAAGTTTGAAAGTAATTGCAAGATGCAATCATGATCTCAAGAAACAAATCGATACCGTTAAGTAAATTTTTATTTTTAATGAAACTGCATTTTCTTTTCATACACAATGTTAATGTTCAAAATATTTACTTTGCAGAAGGCAGTCCACAATCTTCTCCAGAAAAATCCAATAAACCCAAGCCGCAGCAACAACAATCTAAAAATCGTAATCGCAAAGAAGACCGAAAACGTTGAAAAATTTTAAACGTTGAATAATAAATCAAAGTAAAACATACGCGAGCGAGGCACATATACATTAATTACCCCTCCCGTTGAATGAAAAATATATAAATATATATATTTTTTTAATAATGCGTAAATCAAATAATAATTAGCATTTAACTTTAATTACCCATTTAAATTACGATAAATTTAAACGTAGATATATTTATTTTGTTTATGCCTAAATCAAGGCTAATTTTGAAACTCATTCCGAATAAGGAATGATCATTTCTTATAAAAAACAATAATTTATATACACAAATATAATACAAAAATACATAATAAAATGTATATTTTTAGCTCTAATATAAAGTTTTATTAATAAAACCAGTTTATGACATAAACATTTTAATATAAATCATATTTTTTTATTATGCGTCAACTTCAAATTATTAAATAAACAAATGTTCATGGTTGAGTTCAAAGCGTTAAAAATACAGAGACAGAAGGCGCAGTTCAACATTTTTCTTGTCTGGGTGGGTGCCTGATTACAAAAATATAGCAGGGGAATTGCAGACGAGATGACCTGTGGTCAATTTTTTCCTACATTAAACAATTTAATACAAGATAGGAAGATTTAACATGTACATCGGAGAGAATTTCAAAGCAGATGATATAGACGGAAAATGTTCTGAACCTATCGTTAGTTGTTGAAATCTTATTAAATTAAACAATTAAAATACAAGAAAGGAAGAATCGATGGAGATATTTTAGATAATTCCAAAAATGAACTATCGTTCGAAACATCTGAAATCTTCCTATATAAAGCAAGACAAGATGGGAAGATGCTGAAGAAGACATCTGTACTCAAGCTGTAACCTCTTAAATAAGAATAAATAACATTGATATGCCTGTTAAAAATATCAGCCTTATAGTAAGTTTTGCTGAGATTTCATTGTCGGTTCGGAAACCCTAGCCTTTAATAGTTTTTGCCACAGAGCGAGGATACGAGATTGTCACTGTCGAGCGCATGTTAGGAAATCATAGTTTGAGATTGATATATTCATCCAATGATTTTCGTCACAGTTTTGAGAATCATAATTGACAAAGATAGTTGACCAGGGCCAGATTATAAGGGTCCTCACACCTGGTTGCCAACTGGACAGCCCATGACAGGGACGCTCTTTCTATAAAACTTAAGCCAATTACAGAACTTCCTTTTAAAAAGCATCTTAAGCTTTTTTAAATGTTTAAATAGTTTTCAATTGGTTGACTACTCTTACTGATTGCTTAAGTTGTTGCCTTATCTCCTTACAAATTATTCGAAATTAAGCTATTGACGTCGTTCAAGTTATCTAATCTTTATTTTTCTCACACTGTGAACGGCTACCCTATCTATTTTTAGAGTGATCTCCCATGTGATTTGTTAAAAGTACTTATTAAAAATTTTTAACAATTTTGTCTTTAAATAATAATTTCCATAAAAACTACCATAAACAAATAAATGGGCTGACCGAACACATACCAACAGTTCTTCAAAATAAATTTAGATTATATATTTGTCTATGAAATTACATATCTAACATATAGTAACGTGTGCTTACTTTCATTCTAAATACTGCAGGCATATAAAATAGAATAATTCGAAAAGTAAATATGCAATAAAAAAACGCACAAACAGTTTTTTGATAAGAATATTTCCCAGCTTTAACACGTTAAGTTATAATGCATTTTTCATAGAACAATTTACTTATATATAGACTTACTTATTTATAATGTAAGCGAATTATCTTATCTAATGTATACAGGCAAAATAAATTGTACAAAGCTTCCCATAACTGTTAATATCCCATCACTATCAGCACTCACTCTAACCTTTAGCCATGACAAATGCTCCAGTAACTCATAATGTAAATATTCCAGCAGTATTAGCGTGGAAATAAATTTTTTAATTTTTTATCTATTTATTGATAACAGTTTATCTATTAAATTACTAAATAAATAGAAAAAAGGTTTATAAAAAAGCTTAATTTATTTTTTATACTATAAAATTAAAGGTTGGAACCAATAAAGCTTTTATTTATATAAAAATTAAATAAATAAATTATTAATACAGATTTTTTAGTTGGTGAAATGTGTCAAACAAGGGAGGATGAAGTGACGATATAGAAAGAGTATTGAATTAGCATGTATTAATGCTAAAACTATAGTCCAGACCACATTTTTTATTTTAAAGAAGAATATAGTAAGACTTAAATTTGAGTACGCAGTGAAATATTAATAGATAAAATAATGGACAATGTTATGAGGAGTACGTTAGATCTATAGTTGGAGCGCAATGTCAAATAGACGCGAGCATGACAAGTAAATGTTTAACACATGTAAAAATCTCCAGACATACCAGGTATTTTGTTGCAGTGCAAATATGGGCTTAAAGTAAAATCTACCACTGTATGAAAGGCGGTCAATTCTTGTCAATATTCGACTTGACTGATATTGCTTTCATTGCAATATCAGTAAGGTCAGAGAATCAACAGATGTAATGGGCAGACTGTAGCGTCATTTAGGTGTACTTATAAGCAGAAAGTAAGGAGTTTTGAAATTGGGAAAACCTTTGTTTGTAAAAGAGAGTGTAAGTGAGTGTTAAGAGAGATAAGCCGCACTTAGTTATATGTGAAGACTAATAACTTACAGACACGTAGCTAAGGAGGGATAATATCCTTTTTCCAACAGATTAAAGGACTACATTGAATAATGATGTATATCTATTTATGGAATTACTTTTTAATTCGTTACATTAAGTGAAAGCCCCTCAGGTACTGAACTTGAAACCAGATATTGTTTGAGTGAACCAAATCCAGTCAAAACCGGCGTTGACTAATAATCTATGAATAATCTATTTTAACCGAGATAATTAAAAACAAATTCGTATATAATTAAATAATAAATTCAAATCATCAACATGAACCATAAAGAAGTCACTTACTTTCGTATTTAGATGGCGTGATATATTAGTAATTAATAAAAATATATATTATATGGTATAAAGTATTTCACTTCAAAGTCAAAGTCTGGGGTAATGGGAGACCGAAGTTGCTTCTGATTCTGACTATTCCAGTTAATATGTAATATATACTGTGTATATGTGTATTAATATTAATTTCACATTAATATTTTTATATATTATTTTATATATATTATTTTTTATATTTTATTTTATATATTATTTATATATTATAAAATAAATATCAATGTATTTGCCTTTACGTATGTATTTGTCAATATAAAAAGAACTATGTTTATAGATTTTTTTTTGCAATTTATTTAAATAAGTTAATTGGAATAATAAATTTTAATACACATCAATAATTATCAATAAAGTGGTATAATTTTAATTAGTTTAATAATACAGTAAAAAATACTATTAATGTTAGGGAATAATACACAATAATGCATAACCATTAAAACTCCATATTTTTGGTATCAACACAATGAATAATGAATGAGTGAATTGTGGCTCAAATCAAGTTAACATTTAACAAGATGATTAAAATTTTATTTTTGACACATTTGATTAATTGGTAATAATTAAAGATAAATTAATTAACCTTAAATTACTAAATGCAAAAATGAAAGATATTTATTTTATATTTTTATTTGTTTTTTTTTGTTTTGTTTTGTTGTAAAATAAAATTGTTAATAATATTTGTGACTTTACCGATTACTTTCAAGGTTTCATTTGTAGCTTTTAATGACTATTTTTTCATATTATTAATATTTTTGTGTTATATATATACTCTTGTATTTGTCTTCAACTGAAGTTTATTTATATGGAAACTGTAAATAATATTAAATAATAATATATAACTTCAGGTTTCGCCTTTTGCCAATCACAATATGTAATACATTTATTATTGTTTGTTTTTGTTCCTTTTCAATTGTTTATTGTTTTGTTTTTAAATTCTCTTTATTCTTTATTTAATATCACTTGCAACTACTCGACTATATGTGTCCTTTGTTCTACTAACAATCGTTCATATATATTAACTTTGTTATAGGTACAATCTATTATAAATTTCGGCACCAACAGTTCTGAATTACTTCTAATAGACTTGTCATTAAATCATAGTAAAAGGAAAAACAAATGGTTTTTTTTTTAAATAAAATTTTTAAAGAGTTACAGATATATCCCAGTCCCACTTTATAGTTTTAAATGGAAATGGACCAACAGTTATATTGAAAATAATAATAATAGTTAAAAATTTTTTATTCAAAATTAAATAAAAATTAGAGTTGTGGCCAAAAGTATTTTAAAATCCAAAAGGCATTTCAATAAAAAACAGGACTACATCTATTAGCATTCTAGAATGCTAGTAGGTATATGTCCTACTCTTTAGGACCATATATCAGCAATGACTATTCTATTCTATTCGTCAAGTATATACAATAATTTGCATAATACACAAAAATAAATATTTACGAAATGGAGTCTATGGTAGACAGAATATTTTAAAAATATTTATTTGTAGTGATGCCACACAACTACTAGTAATTACCTACGTTGGTAACGAAGATGCTTACTGTTAAGATTTCATGATATTTAGATGAATAAAAACACAGTTATAACGTGTGATGTGATGTGGAATGATTTCCAGCCCATCAAATGATTTTTATATCCACAAAATGCATTCCTTTCAAAGACAAAAGCATTTTTTCTTTAAATAAAAAAAATCATTCGGTTCCAGATCAGGTAAATACAGAGAGTAATTAATAGTTCAGAATTAGTTTTGAACCAAAGCACCTGTCTTCATAAGCTGTACTGCACAATATATAATCACCACCATATAATTGGTCTATCTGTTGAAACGTATCGGTGAAAGTTTTACCGAGTTCAAGACAAGACTTGATATTTACCCACATATACTTCAGACGCAAAACCTGTGTCGTAAAAGTGTCAACAAATGTTGACAGCACTTCACTGACGAAGACACCTGAACTATACTTCATGTGTATTGCCAATAGATAGCGTCATTACAAAATACCTATTTTAAAAAAGTTATATTTACTTCAATCCACTTTATTGTTTTGACGACTGGAAGTAAGAAGTTTCAGAATAAAAATTGTTTTTTATCATCGATTTATAAACGTTTTTGTAATATTTTTTTAATTACATTCAATCACTACAAATCGAAAAAGACATCAAATAGTCGGAAGTATACATATATCTGTACACACTAAATAGTTGGATAAACTATTTAGTGTGTGCATATCCATATA